TAAAAATACTTGTGCGCCATGGTTGACCGAACCAAATGCCCATGTTTGGTTTTTTTACATTGCGTTAGCTGAAAACGCCTGGGTGCGTGTGTGACTAATCCAAATTGGAACCAAGTGGCGGAAATGGCATTTTTTACAGTGCAAATATTTGTTTACCCGAATTTTCGAAAATTATTATGACACATAATAATACCATTAATCAATCAGTGCGCTTAGCAAAATAATTCTGTTGCAAAAAATATATTTCTAGTTTTTGAAATATCAATATAAATATTATGGAACAAAACATTTTCTCTATTTTCGCTTTGTTGCATAGTGCACAGCTAGGTACATATAGTGGATCGATTATAGTTCAAAGAAACACTCGTATGTGGATGCATGACACTTGAATTAAAGAGCGCATTTGCTATATACCTAACAAAGACGTTTTTGAGCCTAATATCTATATGTATTATTTTCAATTAAAATGTACATAAAGTCTAGTTACGTATCACCCTAATTATTAGGTGTCACGAAGACTGAAAATACCAACATTATTACTCACAGTCCCAACCACTAATTAGAAACGTACAGGTTCTTATAAACAAATTACTTTGGGAATGCCATTCATTGTTACCATGGTAAAAAAGCGAAAACAATGAGAAAATGAACTTGGAATTTCCTTAACAATCGATTTTACTAGGTGACTGATGCATTTCTCTTTTCTAAGATAATGAGGTACTTTTATTCTGAATATCCCATCTAAGTAGTTTTGGGCAACCGCAATTCTCCATCCTTTGTGGTGTACGAGTAAAAAACATTGATAAATTTAACCACAATTTTAAATTTCCGTTTTCGTTTAGGTGCCAGTTTTTTGCTGATCCGGTTCACAAATAGGATCATCATGTAGCACATGGTGTATCTAAAGTTCATAGACGAGTAGTCTTAAAGCCGGTGGCATTTTTCAGTTAAGGCTTATTTCTTTGTGAGGATATTGTGATAGGAGTGCCACCCGTGAGGCAGCAGTATGGGAGGGAGGCAAAATGCCCCAAATCTGTAAACAATAGGTAGGTTCTAGTTTTTAATGAGTACCACTGATTCTATAGTGAAGGCAAAATTATCAGCCCTATTGGATTGGAAACTTTATGTCTCCCTCCCATTTCTTCCGGAAATTAAAGATGTGAAATTAGATGTTCTCTAAGTTTCCTAGTAAATTTTCTAGAAGAGATAGATTCATATTTTATTGTTTAAGGTTTCTGCCATGTTTTCGGAGCATAATTCTAGTACGTTTGTCTAGAAAAACTTCTAGGATGATCTCTAATGAAAACCCTAAAAAGTATTTCAATGCCACTTCAAAATTGGTTTCGGATCGGTTTTAAAGTACGTTTCTTAGAAGATTCTTAAACATTTTTTTTAATATGCTTTCTGGTTGAATTGAAATTGGCAAAATGAATCAAAAGCTTCCCCATACTCGTTTATTATTTAAAGGGGGTGTGTTGGATGCTACATTTTTAGGAGCGTATACCATACCCCCCAGACGTGCCGAAACTACGTTACTCCTCAAAACACTAAAAGACCTCGTGTTAGTTTTCTATAAAGGACCATCGAATCTTGCTTTCCTGACGAATATTCTACACCCGACACTACGTTAGATGGTACCTTTTCAAAAATTATAGTGTAAGTACTATTGACACTATACGTTTTGAGCAAAAAATGTAGAACCAGGAGATCATTTTTAAGATGACGAAATTTACCCTTAATTTAAGTGCGGACTACATATTTTTGGGTATAATATGCAAAAAATGGCAATTAGGGGATGATAAATTTGAAGATGTGTTCGGGGAACATATTTGAAAATGTGCATAAAACTTTAAATGCACAAGCAGGAAAAGGAAGAGTAATAGTTCACTCAGGCTCATATTTTTTAAACGATACAAAGTATTAATGAAAATGGACAATTATCTGGTTACTGTTGAAGGCAGAAGTTAGAACTCGCAGAAGAAATTAAATTTACTTAAAACTAAATGAAGAAAGGGGGAATTGCAAGTTTCTAAAGCAAGGGAGTTCTTGTTAAAATTGGAAATATCGATCAGAGAGAATTGAAGAATAAATTTTTTGTGATGGGTATCATTTCCAAAATGTAAAAGTGTGAGGCTTTTACTGAAAAATGAAAGATCTCTAAGTTGTATTTCAATCATTGCTTTTTTGGGAAATGAGGGCCATTCAAAAACAATTTCAAGGAATGAACGAACGGTCTGAACGAAATTTTAAATTTTCATTTCCTGGATTTTTTAAAATTAGTTTTAAGTAAATTTAATTCTGCGAGTCCTAACTCTCATTGTCATTTTTAGCTGTCGAAACATGACCAATGACCATCTAGCACACTTTCTTTAAATCATAAAGTTGTTTTTTTACAATTCAATTTAATTCAACCTCATTTGTAGTATCAATCAACATATGCCTAAACGCCCTAAACCAATGAAGTTCTCTACTGTTACTAGGAAGACTTTTAAGATTTTGTAGGCATATTTTGAAGGAAACGAAAATGGTGTCAAATATTTAAAGACGATATTATAGGTTTCAGGGAACGTTCCTAAATAGGTTTCTACAATCTACATTTATAAAGATGTATGGAATTTCCAGAAATTTTAGGAATTTTAGGATTCGTTGATACTTTTAGGTCATCATCATTTTTGAACCCTCCGCAGATATCTCCAAAAAATTGGAGCGAGCATCGGTCTGTAAATGACACTTTGACATTGAACGTAACCTACTATTTTCTCGTGGACTGTAACGTGGTTAAGGACATCGAAATTAAGGGAGCAAAGACACTAAAAATAATAGCCCTAACCAGAGATGCGGCTCCTCACGGGCGACTAGAGAACCTAGGTTTATAAAATGTGATAAATTAGGTGCTAACTTTTGTTTCCCTGTTAGGGAGCCCCAAAAAATCACCAATTATAAAACCAAATATTAACGCTAACCTAAAATAATAACAAAAGAAAACTTCATGCGGGGTTTTGAAGGCGCCAAAACTAAATACAAATTCAAGAAAACGAAAACAACAGATTCATCTGCAAAATCAAGTTTTTGTGCTTGTATCTATGCGTTGTCTTGTGTTGTAAAATTCCCGTAATTTATTTATCGTTGCGAATTTTCGAGAATATTTGTGAATTTTCAAAATTGTCTAAAATATTCATCTTTTACAAAATACTATTCTGTGTTTAAAATTGTTTATGTAACATACATAAATACAAAAACTTTATATTTCCCAGCTCATATGCCATAAAATACTGCACCTTCAAAACAAAACAAAAATTCAGACAAATTGAAGAAAACTCAACAATTCGAAAAGAAGAAAAAATGATAAGATCCAAATGGTAGAATTGGTAGAAAAATTTTCATAATGAATTTCTCGGATGATTTAACAAAAAATTTCGTTACCAAAAATTCTAGAAATATTTTTAAGAAACTCCTGACAAGTCTTTTAAGAAGGTTCTTAGTATTTACACTATTACTCCCATTCGGCTACTCTACCTTTTCGCCTCGCAAAAGTCAAAGTCAAAATAATAAATTTTATTGACATTAATAAAGGGATAAGGGGTGTATATTAATGTCAAATACAAGATTTATATATTTAGCATCCAATAACCCCCAAATTTAACTTAAGGAGAAAAACGACAATTTGAAAATTATTTCCAAGAACATTAAGCCCATGATTATAAAGTTTTTGCGTTTTTTAAGGGGTGTTACGTGTTGATTTAATCTCAATCGTAAGATTTGGTATATTTAGCGCCCTAAATTGAAAATATCTGTCTGTATACCCACGAAAAACGACTTACGTAATTTGAAAAGTATTTAAAAAAATTAAGCTTCTGTGTATTCATTTTATTAACGTTATTTAGGTGAATATCTGGATATTTAATATCAATCGCAAGATGTCTATCATGTAGATCTCCGAAACCATAGAAGATAAAAACAAGATACGAAAAATTGCAGTAAGGGAATTCTCGAGTTAGACGAGCAACCGACGAACAGACAGACGAACAAAACGATTACATAAGGGGATTTTTTTCTTTCGAAAAATTCCCCTAAAAACCAGAAAATTCCAAAATTCAACGGAACACAAAGATACTTTTTACCACCCACTGCAACTGTCTACCTACATACAAATTTATAATTAAATTCAATCACATATGTTTCATAATCACGTAATAAACGAAGTATTTTTAGAGCTTGAAACAATTGATTTTTTTATTTGATGATATGTACAAATTTCCATTTAAAAAACCCACGCACAACCCTTATGCATGAGTATGCTCAGCACCAGGCACACAGAGCCTTTTTACTTCTAGTATTGACAAACCACAGAACATTATGATTATGATTGAAATGAATTAATGACAGGATGCACAAGCATTACTTTAGTCATAAAGTACCTAAATCGAGACCTAAATCATTGAACCGAAGCTTTTAGCATTACCTAAATGTAACTGGTAACCCACCTTCCTTATGAAAGTAGTAGCTTTTACCCCAATAAAGTTTAAGGTGATGGCATACAATGAGAAACTGGTAATTTTTTACTTTCCTGGCTGCTCCATAGGTTACGTACGTAAAATGTACAAAATAATCATAAGCGGAACCTTTCAAGTCTGAAGGTCAAATATTTACTTATAGGTCAATTGTTGAAAGGTTACCGGTTTGCGCTTATAGAATTTTGGCTATCCATCAAACCGTCCGTCCGCGTAATCGTAGGTCATCAACACCTTTCCTCCGAACATCTCCAATTTTGGAATTCGGTGGGTGGCAGGATTTTGAAAAGTTTGACGCGTGTTTGTATTGGCGTCGTCGCTATTCGCTAAAAGCCAAACTTTTTCATTCATCATCTTGCAAGTACGGTCATTAATCTAATTAGAAATTCAAATCCGGTCACGCATTCTTTGAAAGACATTCCCTTCAAGTTGTCCTTTTAACGAATGTGACAAGATTTCCAACGCTTAACGGCAATAATTAATTTACAGGTCATCAAGTAATTTTGGAACTATTGGCGCACGATCGGCTCCAAGTACGCCACATGGATTACTTGGTTCCTCGCCAGGAGGGCTCTCGGAAAATGTCTCACAACCCTGCAGCCCTCCCGGTTACTCGACTCTTATCCAACGGAGTCCTAGTCATACAATTTTTTCAAAATACGATAAGTAAGTCCTTACTTTAATGCACGAAACTTGCATGCACGTTTAGCTTATTAGAAATCTATAATTAACAACTTTTCAAGTGAAATTGCATTAATTTACATAATTGGTGTAACTAGAACTTTGTAGATACATTGTATAACAAACTTTCAGTATCATTATTTGATATCTTTCGAAATCTAGACGTTTGTCATGCTTTTACTGTTACGAAGTAGGAATTATACACCATAACAGTAATAGTATCGTGCAACAGCCTGTTCCAATTTTCTTAGTTTGTAGTTTAATTTTGAAAGCCATTCATAACCTTTTGCATGAAGAATTGCTTTGGCTTATAACAGTTTTTTATTAACACAATTTATTTCACCGTAATTAATGGATCGTTAGCGATTGGCCAACCAGAACGTTTTATAACTACAAATCATTGCTTCTAGGGGATTCTGGTGAAATTTAATATAATTTTTTCAGTATCCTCTCGTAAGTGTGTCTTAGTACTTGACTTAACATTTTAATTACTTTGTTGGACTATCTTCCAAAAAACATTGGCCCGAATAACAATGTTTTTCTTTATTCTGCATTTAAACATGACTTTTTTGTGTAGGTCAATTTTTTTTATTTAAACAAGTATTTCTCGTTTCCAAACTTTTGTATTGATCTCTAAATTTTCATAAATGTTTTACTGTTTTTCCTAATCAGGTCAGTTTTTAGTATTTCATGTACCTACTTTATCATTTTTGTATTAATTACCACATATGTGTTCAGTTTATGGATTCCCTGGGTACATCCAAATAGTCGTGGATTATAAGATTCCCCTCGGTGGCGAATACTATTCATGATATCAGCTTTTTTTAGTGAAAATCCCCCGATAAAAACATTTTATGCACAGCATCAACAGATTGGACACCTCTGATAATCCAGGGCGGTCTGAAATACCCAGTCTTGAACTTTGCAACCCAATTTTTAACATTGGAAATTGGTCTTCCATATCTCCAAGGTTTTAGCCAAGTATATATCTTGCAAAGCAATGCTTCGTTGTTCAATTATCCGACATTTATTGAATCTGTCGACTATCGAACCTAAAGAGATGACACTCATTGAACTTGAACTCAAAGGCGGCCAAATTGTTAAAAAACTGTTGAACTGTTACATCAGGTCTGGAGACCAACCAATAATGCTGTAAGTATACACATTAATTAACATTAAACAAGCGTCGCTATCTTCGCTGATAACATATCGCTAATAAACAAGCGTACATCCACCATGTTATTACATTTAATAAAGACGCTCTACTGCTTACTATGTTTGGTAGCGTATTAGACGTAGAAATGCTCAAACTAACAATCGCGGATTCTATTCCGCAACTAATTCAGTACCAAAAAAGTTCAGATACGTCCTCAGGGGATGAAACTGATGACAGTCGGTATGATTTGCAAGTCGCTTCATCTAAATAATATCCATTTTCCAGGGGCGCTTTAAAACAACTCTCAAGTTCCACACCTGCAATGACGGCACAGGCACGCTCACCTGAACCTCCAAGTCCGAAAGGGTCCACCAAGGAGGACAAATTACCGACTACCTCAAAAGCACGACAGAAAAAGTTTCTTAGGCACTTTCCTGCTGTAGATATCGACGAAAAAGTATTAAATTGTAAGTAGCAACAGTTACATTGAATTACATAATAGCAATTTTCTTCCAGATTATTCCTGTGCTTTAATAGGTGATATTTTACTGCAAGGACATTTGTATATTACAAAAAATTACTTTGCTTTCTACTCGAACGTATTCGGCTATGTTACAAAGGTAATAATTAGCAATAGTCGATTGTATATTAATAACTGTAACTTCAGTTACTTATACCGTTATTATCAGTACAAAAAATTACAAAGGAGAAGACGGCAAGAATTATACCAAACGCTGTAGGAATCGCGACAGTGGAAGACAAGCACGTGTTCGGAAGTCTAATGTCAAGGGATAGCACCTACAGGCTTATGACGAAAGTGTGGGATGCGGCGAGAAATAATGCTCAAACTGTTGAAGCTGAACTTTTGGTAAGTTACCGCCATTTTGTGCGGAATGACAAGGTCTCGCTTCTTTTAGGCAGTCAACGCTCCGTCGGAATGTAGCGATAGTACAAAAAGTAGTGAAAGTGATACTGAATTTATGGTAGCTGATTCGGCGAACGGTTTGGTCGATTCGGTGGATCCAAATGCAAGGATACGTAGATTGCCTTCGTTGTGGCCTCCCCTCAATTCTGAACATTCAAGCAAAGGAGCTAGTATGTATATTCATTAATTTTTTTGTCCATTGATACATTCGTAGTACATATATAAGATTTAACATTGTGAATGTTTGGAGAGTATAGTCGTTTGATTCGGCACGAAGGATCAATTTCTGCCACTTTATGGGAAAGATCGCATTATGTATATAGTAAAAATTTTTCGTATTCTAAGCTTGCACTAAAACGGTCTAGTTTGTATAGTAAAAACCAATTCTAAGCTTGCACTAAAACGGTCTAGTTTGTAGGACGATGCTACCAAGTATAGATATTAAATAAACGTGTAAACAAATATAGAAACCCTGTATGTTATATGTGAAATATCTCAGACCAACTTCATGTTATTTTTTAGAACGCGGGGCCCGAACTATTGTTTAGGACTGAGCCCCTTGCTTCCATGCTACGCTACTGAAGCGGTACGTCTCTAATTAACCCCGCAAACATCAAACGAGCGTTTACGAGTGGTTTTTGTCCGAGTATAAAAAAGGGAATTCGGAACAGAACGTAAATAAATGGGTTATATGCTTACGATACTTTTAAAGCAAGTTTTTTTTCCTAGAAAAGGTATCGGTTTCAGGGGTTGATTTATTGGGGTTTAATTGCACATGCATAAGTGAGACGAATTGGATTATAGCCGAGAGTGTAGCGGTCATTTTTTATGAGCTGCGAGTACCAGTTCCGTAATATTAATATTTTAATGTTACTTAATTAATTTATATACCTACAGGGTGTCCCATTTATTGGATTGTAGCCGAGAGTGTAGTGGTCATTTTTTGTGAGGTGCGAGTACCAGTTCCGTAATATTATATTTTAATATACCTTCAGGGTGTCCCATTTATCTTAAGACTAGCGATTATTGCGGAAACTAGCCGGGATATCATAAAATGACTTGTATAAAATCTTCTTCATATGGAGGGGCCCATTTAAAAAAGCTATGCACATTTTCACTTAAGGGTCAAGTGTAGGGCAACTAATACTTCTTATTCTGGAAAATAGTACACTTTCGTGGAAAACGTTTTTTCCCTGCACTTATCAATTAGCTTGGCGATCATTAAAAATTATATTTTAAGAGTGTGGTTAAAAAGGAAACTGAGGACGTTTTCTTGTTATCGAGAAACTACGAACTTCATGGTGCCCCCCCCCCCCCGGGGTGGTAGTACTGGTTGACTTTTGTACATTAAACATTCGAGGTGGTACTGGATCTGCCCTTGTAGACGTTTCTACAGACCCTTCCTTCAATGAACTAAACTTGAATAGTGAATTATTTACGAAAGAACGACGTCATGTATCGCATTCCGGCGAATTTTGGGGGGGGGGGGGCAAAAGGGCCGAAAATCACGAAGACGAAGTCGCGCGTCAAAATTGATATTTTAGATTTGAGCCTGAGCGGAATGGATTGCAATGAAAACCTCGAGAGCAGCAGCGTTATGCTACTGAGCAATAAACTGTGGAAATCAACATTTATAACAATTCAAGGCGCGAACAAAATTTTTTTATTTAAAATATGTGCCAAATTCTTGACAGAACAGCTTCCTAACTCAAACCAAAAATCGCGCATTTAGAAGAGTGCGAGGAAGAGTGTCTTCCAAAAATGATAAGTACCGGGAAAAAGTTGAATAAGAACATGTGAATGTGCATTGAGCCATATAAAGAATACTTTATATAAATCATTTTTTGATATTCCCGCTAATTTTCCGCAATAACCGACTGTATCAAGATAAATGGGACACCCTGTATATAAATAAATTAAGTTATATACAACATTTCGATATAAGATTATACGGAACTGCTAGCTGCAACTCATAAAAGAAATGACCCACTGTCGGCTACACCTCAATTCGTCTCGTTTGCGCAGGTGCAGTTAAAAACTCCAATAAATCATCCCCTGAAACTGATGTATTTTTTAGGCAAAGATGTTTGGTTCAAAACTATCGTGTATAACCCGCCATTTATTCTCGTACTGTTCCGAATTTTGTTATACCCGGACAAAAACGAAATGTACCCTTTATTAAATTAACCCTTCTCTTCATAATTTTTTATACGTTTTCTCGTAAATATCGTGGGCCTCACATTGTTTCGACTTCACTTCCCTTTTTTTAAATTTTGTTTGTGTTTATACTAATAAATCAGTTACAGTCTACAGTGAAGCAACGTTGCTCTCGGTAGTACTCGTATTTTAATGGGTAATCACTCGAAAACTTCGCTCGTTAATAAAAAATGTTAGTTACTATTTGAAAAAACAGGTGTATAACGCCATGGCACTAAAAACTCATTTATTTAAAAAAAAGTGTTTGACAGATTGACATCCTTTGTGCCCAATGTACACTGGCAAAATTTTAACGAAATCAAAATAACCGTTTAAAAAAAAATATTTTCGCTTTTTAACTTGACATTTTTTCCTTTATTTTTTGGTAATAAAAATTAGCATAATTTTTGTAGATTGTACACAAAAAAAATAAAGTGTGGGTAAAGGCTGGATTTTTGAAAAGAACATTTAAATGATTATTTTTAATTATTATTTTAAAGACCTTATTTTTCTGCGTACAACCTACAAAAATTGTGCCCGGTTTTATTACAAAAAAAACGGAAACGGAAACAGAAATTTCCAAGTTAAAAAATATGTTTTTTTTTTCGATAAAACTAAATTAATTTTAATTATGAATTTCGATTATTAATTATTATATGTTGCCTTGTGACATTAAAATAAAATCCAAAATCAATAGACAAACATGAGCAAAAATTAAAATAAAAACAGACAACGCTATGCAGAGTACCTACTCAAGCATACTTGACGGAAAGTGCCTCATGATCGCAAAGGAAAAGATTATTTTGATTTCGAGACTTTGGCAGCCTACATTAGACCTAAATAAGGATGTAAGACTGTCAAAATCGTTTTTGTTAAATATATAGCTGGTTTTTGGGCTAAGAAGCTGTTCTGCTAAGAATTTAGCACCTGGTTTTAGTAGTGGAAAAAGTTCATCTAAGAAGGTTCCTTTTTTCGTGTAAATTTTCAAATTTATTTAATTCATAACTTGGAAAATGCGTTTATTCATAGTATAACAAATAGAACTAATTGGAGTTTAGTATGACTTTGAAAATAAGTACCAAAAAAACTAATATAAGTCCCGTTTCATAATTTCTTACGACACTTTTTTTTATCAAAAACGACCTACGCCTCGTCCTTCGTGATGTACGGTTTGCTCATTCTCGGTATAATCGTTTACTGAACAATTATCCGCCAGTAATAATGAGTTACGTAGGTATATTACAAAGGTTAAAAAATAATCACGTATCTAATTAAATTTCACAGCGATAAGATTTCGGAGATTGCGCCAGGTTTAGTGCAATATGGGAGAAATAACAGGTGATCTTCTGCGGCCAGTATCAATAATTTTTTTATTTTTTTACAGGCGATGCAGAAAGTAAGAAATCGAACATCAACCATTCAGTTTGGCGTACCTCTAGGATACTAAATTTGCCAGCTCAAACTATAGTATTATGTGCAAGCACATTTCTTCTCTTGCTGCTATTTTTATCGGCAGGTATTTTACTGTACCGGATAGGACAGGTTCAACAGAAGTACATTATGGCTTTACAAGTAAGTGCAAATTGCAAGATGGGAAAATTACTAAGGGGCAATTGTTTAGGATAACCACCTGATGAGTAGTACGGAGGATGTTTATGGTGAACTATTGCAATGGCAAGCCCAACTACACACAAAATCGGCGGGGGCCGTTCACAACTTCCTAGATACAAATTTAGATCAAATTGCGAAAGTGAGGCAGTCCTTAGAAGCTTTATCAACATTATTAACGGTGTCATCAAATAATAATAGTGTTAATCGAAACCCTCCAGCCGAACATACGAACGCGCCAGAAACAAGTTAGCTGGTTCCACTGTACCTTGCCGTTTTTGGATGTAAGCCTAAACTTTCAAACTGAAAGTCTCGTAGTTGTTGTAAAGTATTTTTCTTACTTGTTATCAAAATTAATCAGATCAGTGGTGTTTGATTAAGTGTGATATTTTTTATTTGTGTTTTAGACATAGCGACGTTAACGGCGTTAATGAATTTTTTGATATTTAAAAAATTCCTAGTAGCGTTTGTTAAATTGAAGCCTACTTATTACATTCCTACTTTTAAGCGTAGTGTTCAATCTTTCATTGAAAGATTAGGTGCTTTGGAATTAGTTCCTACATTTATTTATTAAATAGTTTTTTATGTACATATGTATGTTTTTGTTAAGCTACGCCATCGTTTTGCTGTTTCGTGTCCTGACTATGTAGTGTACTACTTATCAAACATCCACTGCTAAATCGCCATGTATCTTCAGAAGGGCAATTAGATGGCAAACAAACAAATCTAGTGCTGTTCGTTATAAAAATAGCTACTTATAGGGAAAAGGCTGTAAGAGGTAGTCGAACGTGTGTAGACATAGTTAATTGAAATCCTATTTGCCAAAACCTCTTTGCCACAAGCTCATGCCATAAATTAGTATTTCATAAGTTACTTATTTCTTGAAACAAATTACATTTTAGACATTGTTTCACGAGTTACATTATTTTTGATATTTAAACACCAACTAGGCACCTTTATGATTATTTTGCACCAAAGAATGTAATTTCCATTTAAAACTAGTTTAAAACCAACTTCTCATTGTTGTTCATTCCGAAACTTTAAAATACCCTTGCCTTGAAAGGAAGAAGAGGAAGATCTTAATCCGCCTAATTCAAAATTACTCAATTTTAATACTATTACGCAATATGCACAATAGTTATAGGTAATTAAAAAAGTTTTTCGAAAGTTGCTCACTAAAATCATTAGCATAGGTAGTAAGTGCGGATTTTGACATACACGAAGATTTGCATCTGGTGGCCTAGCATGTTTTTTTACACCTCTCATGGGAGCTTTAACTATAATGCGCGGAATTCGTTAATTCAAGTTATTAAAATAATGGGCAATAAAAAGACGTAGCAATTAAAATTCCTTTTAAATATAATACAAAAAGTTCTCACAGATTCGCAAATTTAGAAAAACAAAATTTTGAGGGTGTTCATAGCTGCATGGCCACCACATTTTACCACAGCATCGTTTTATTGACAAAGTGTTACGACGAAAATTGTAAATACTTTTTGTAGTACCTATAAAATTGACACTTAGTTTATTTCTAGTTTTAAATATATTTACCATAATTGGTAGGGGCAATATTAAGATAAATGAACTAAAATAACATTCGTTAAATATTTTGTAGGCATTCCCAGTTTGAATTTTATAGGTAACACAGAATGGTTTACTTTTCTTTGCATTGTTTTGTAATATAGCATTTGTTGTATTTTTTATCTGATCGTTTTATTCTGTACTTGTATAAGTAAACCTGTGATAATTTTGTTTTGCTTAGATCCCAATAAATATTTTTGTTTTTATTATTTTTTCTAGAAATTATTCCCTCCTTTCTTGTCTAGTGTAAAAATTATATATTCGCTATCTAAAAATGATTAGAAATTCTCATTTGTCAAAATATGTAACCAGAACATTTCCTAGCTTCTAATCTAATCAAATGCAACGTTACCTTTATTGCAGTAATTGGTTAAGGGAGATTTTTATGGGGACCCCTCTCCTTTGTTGATTGCATTTTCTACACATTTTACAAGTACTACATGCTAGAAAAATATTTTCAATGTTAATAATAAATTTAGTAAAACTTCTGGTGGTGCAGATAGTGCTGTCAGCATTCTAAGATGAATAATGTACTGAAATAATGTCTCGTTTCTCTCAAAAGAAACACTACAATTGTTCAATTTTTTTTAAAGAATTAAAGGGGATGTGCGAGAATTTTAGATTGGAATTAACAAAACAATTACGCAATTTTAAGTAAGTACCGTATCGACAGTATCCCCGACTTTTCCTTAATTTACCGATTGCGGTCGAGTACGGTACAATCATGACTTGATGCGCCACCGCTGTCTTTTGTGCTTGAACGAAATTGGTAACTTCATATCCTCGTTCATATCCATCCATTTCCAATGCTAAAACGCGCGCCTAGGTTCATACTAACATGAACAGTATTTGTCTGGGAGAATGTTTTCAGAACCTTGATATTATTACAACTTAAAAATTCCACTTTCGCGTATTTTGGCGGGGAAAAAAAAAATAAATCCAGAGTAATGCGACCCGTTACACCATCGGCAGATCCATACTTTACCAGTAATTGCAACGGATTTGATACTTTGATACATTTTTAGAAATGTTGACTGTACTTTCGTTTAAAACTTAGAGGAAAGAACCGTTCCGGGGGTTGTTTAAAGAGATTTCTTTTCTCCAGTGATTCACATTGACTAATGATTATGATTAGATCAGTAGTTAGATATTGCATTCCAATCAATTATTACTGCAGTGATTTTCAAAAAATATAATAATGACTCCACTAATTACAATTGCTGTACGATTATGTCTGCGAATGATCGCGGCGGAGGGCCAAACAACTTTGTAAATTCATGAAATTCTTTTGGAATTAATGATTCAAGCCAGTTTTACCATTACGAACAAAACCAAAGAAATCATCAAGAATTTGTAACGTAGTGAGGCGAGGCGGCTCACTTGCCGGGCGACAGTATGTTATTGTATTGAGTCAATCGATGCCATAAACTAATATTTAAATATTTCACAAAAATAATTCCTTGAATTTTTAACAATCTAAAGGAAGACAAGGAAACCCTCAAAATTGGTAGGATAGCGAGGTAAGGCGCTGCAGCTACCGAGGTCAAAGATGTGTTCACGTGTTGAGTCAAACAATCCTATCAATTTCTAAACAGAAGCATTAAAACTTAAGCCCTTTCGACTGGTAAACCATAGCGGACTCGGACTTTTCTTTGTCATACATTTTTTAGATGAAAATTTCTTTCACAAAGTGACTACTTCTTACCGTTCGGTATAATAGGAATCAGGTAGAGACGCAATCTCCATAACACAGATCGTATTCTCTTTTATCTCTTACTAAGCATATCCCGTCCTATCCAGCCACGTAGTGTAAAAGAGAAAGAAGTACTCACTTCTGTCGGCACTCGGTAAGTGCTTCACTAAAAACAGCATACTGTATTACTGTAATACAAGTGCGGAAAAGTCTTTGTTGAAAAATGCGTACGAATGGAACACGGGCAAGACCAAGATTTTTTAAACCCTTTTCTGGAAATTTGGAACATTTTTTCCACGAAAGTTCGAGAATTTCGATGGTTTGGTAAACATTTATACACATGATGTTAAAATCACATTTTCTGTATAAATCTAGTCGTAAGATTCTCGTATAGAATTAGTATTTACGTGTCCAATCTTGCACGAACACCGCCGGAGGTGTCGATTATTCCTGAGCTATTGACTTAAAATCAAAAGAAGGGCACGGGAACGAACGAGAGAATTTCCTTAGTTGCTGTAGAACGAAAAAGCTCAGGCATTATGCGGAAAACCATGTTACTTGCTTACTTTATAGAACAATCCGAAAAAGTAAAACCATCTACATTATGGTCAATATATATTCCGTTAATTTTGTGACATTTCCAAGTTAGTCCAGGAAATGAAGGTTTTGCCCTGGTAATTTTTTCAAAGTGAATCCATTAACTTGAAAGTCTGACAGTAGGTAGGGAATAGCCTAAGGATCAAAATCTATATCACCTCATCTCGTGGGTGGCAATTTTTTATTGTAATGTTAATACAGAATAGATAGAAAAATTAATTCTCGAGTTAATTCTAGACATAGTGTTTTTTTGGAAAGTTGATACTTCTCCAGTTATTCCCGACCGAAAGTCAATGTCTTTAATTGCGAAAAACTCGAACAGTATGTATTTTATTAAAAAAACTGTGGAGAACAAAATCGTAGTATTTAAAAAGAAAGTAAATGGTTTTTTAATAATAATTGTTGTATGACCAATAAGAACCGAGTTGTGGCTTGTTAAAGGTTAGCTCTTGTTCGTCAAACACTAAATTAGAGAGTTTCATAGTCAAATATCGGCAAGACTATGCATTTTTCGAGAAAAAATTGAGAAAATGTTTTAAAGTAGGTACCTATTTAAAAAAACCTTTCTACTTTTTTTAAAAAACAAACTTCAGCATAAAAATTAAGTGAAACGTTGAAAATAAGGTAGATCCGTACTTTTTTCAGCCAAAAATTAGCGCAAGCAACCCCCTAATTACCACTGTAATTAAAATTCGTCCTTCCCCTTTTCCAGTTTTTGCTAATTACGTATTATTAATACATTCTAGAAGTGTAACCAGTTTAAAAGACTTAATTTTGAAATAATGGAAGCTAAAAGTGAAAACGAATTTCTGCAATTTTGTGAAAAACGCCATTCTTCAAACATTTTCCTCAGCAGGAATTTTTTGTAGGACAAGAATTAGGTGAGATATAGACGTTTAAAACGTGATGTATTTATGTTAGCACTAACTTTTTCTAGCACGCCTCACCCCATTTTAAAATAAGAGTTTTAAATGGATTTGAAGTAAATAACCTTGTCGCTTTTACAAAAACTTACAAAATGGTTTTTAATCCACTTTCTATCATAAAAAATAAAGGAGTTATGATTAAAAAACGAATCACAATTCTTTTCGAAAAATTCTGAAAGCACAAATCGGAGCATGATGCTACATGACCGGTATATATTTCGTATACTACACATTAGAAACTATCTATATATTCTATAAAAAGCATTATGCGGGTCACTCTGTAATAGGGCGCAAGCCTGTTGAGGGCCCAGAACAAGAGAGGGATAACAAATAAATAAAAATAAATAAATAAATATGTAGTTTTATGGGTTTTTCCAAAAAGGGGTAGTTTTCACCCTTAAATGAAGGTCGCCCATCGGCATCATATAGATTTTGAAGTGGAGGAAGTATGCCAAGTTGCAATTGATCTTGAAACGTAACGAGCGTTAATTTTTGTGATAATTAAAGCAGAAACTTTATTGTTGGCCATTTTTCATCGTGGTTTTTTTGGGTGTTCTAAAATACAAATGTATGCAGGACGTTCCATTTAAAAAACTAGCAGTCTTATTTATTTTTTTTGTAACATTATAGAAAATTGCACCTCAATTGACCATACTATGAACTGAAAAGAAACTTTACTGTTTACCTATGCAATATTTACCTATTCTCCGAAACCGGTCAGAGACGAAAACCTCTTACTCATTAAAATGAATTTGTTCGATAAATTTAGAAAAACACGCCCCAATCTTAGCCCCAATCTATTAGAAAATAAATTGAAAAGAAAAAACGAAGAATTTAAATCCATAAAAATGAATTTTCAGAAAATTGCATCACTATTTCTCAAAAATTAATTGAAAAGAAAACTTTATTATTTACATAATACAATAAATATTATAAATTTGGGCGATTGTTTAAAGCGTAAAGTTTTTTATGCTTCTATTTGACCAAAAGGTATGATATCAGAGTGCCAAGGGCCTATTATATTTGTGTTGCCGCGAGACGAAAAGAGTTATTTTGTAAAATCTTACTTTTATGGTCTTAACTACGCGGTAATTATGTAAGTACCTATACCTACAGTAACTGTATTACGATATGTCATATCGTATTTTGCAACAACACAAAGAAAAGTGTAAACTTATATACTAAAGTAAAGCATTTTAGCCCCAATATGGTGACCGGAACGAACGACCAATCAAAAACGAGATAACCGGTTGTTCACTGTTCTAAATTGGGTCACTGTACCTATACCTAGAAACGATTGGATTTAATGCCATAAACTTGTGAAAATACACTGAAGTGCTTTTAATATGAAGGAATACCCGAGATCCTATTACGTATTATAACCAAATCTTGTTTTTTCCCGCATAGACAATTACCATAGTATTTGAGTAAGCAAGTATACTACTATTGATAAGGGTACAGGTTTAATAAATCAATTGTCCGCCAATGAAATAAGATAAAGCTGTCGAATTCGTTTCGTATATGTACTGTTTTATTATTTTCATTAAAGTTAATTTATTAAAAAAAAATTCGTGCTACTTCAATAGATTTTCTTGATTAAGATTAAAAAAAAATCAGTGGAAATAAATACAAAAAAAGTTTTCGAGACCAAACGAAACCCTCGTCGAGACTATCGGCGGCATTACCAGTTGTCCCGAAAACAAGGGCCGTGCATTTTGGAAATTATTCACTTTGTTAACTAAGAAGAAAAATTGCTTTGTCATCAAAAGAAGTGGTCAAATACGGATTTTCAAAAAGATCGGATGAATTTTACTTAGTAAAAACAGATTATTAATTTTCGCGATTCGTTTCTTTCCATTTTTCCGTAAACCCTGCAATAACATTCGAAAATGAACGTTCAATATCAACTGTATGTAGAAAATTCGATTCCAAACAAATTCACTTCTTTATTTTCCCTTAGAGCAATTGAAGTCAAACGCGAAAAGAAACGACATTTTCCTATTTTTTCTTTGTTCTTTGTTTATAACAGTATGTTCCGGGAGTTTCCGGTCAGGGGGACTATGGTTTTCGTATATTCAGCCAATTTTTATACATAGAATACACTTGGTCTAATTTGACTGGACTATATTAAGCAATGATTAAGGGGAAACAAGCGACGGTTTTGCGAAAACTTACAGAAACTAGTATACTGTTTAATAACAAAATTGCCATAAATTACGAAAACTAACTAAAATCAACAGATTATGCATTGAATTGGTACAAGTTTCAGTGCAAGACTCGATTCATAACATTTTTGATTCTCAGCAATAAAAATTAAACGTTAAAAAAACGTTCATAGTATAGTTAGGTTCCTTATTTCGGTGAGTAGCTTCGAATTCAAAATATCCCACATTAGAGTTCGGATATTAATGTAGAAAAACACATGGCTAAAATCGTTTATTTGTGAACACATGTTTCGACTTAACACGTTGTACACCTGTCTATAATTGTTTCAATCACTTATAGATCGCTTCGAAACGCTGATTATTTGTAAACTCCCAAAATTAGCCAATGCCCCGAAACAAAATTATCAAAATGCCTCTTTTTCACATTTCTAAAAATTCGTTCATTTTAGAAGAACATTATTAACATGAAAGGCCGTTAATTGAAATAGAAATTAATAGACGCGGGTAATTTACGCAATGATAAATTGCTATTATCAATAATATTTGTTAATCATTAAACTGTCAATAACCACAAATGCATTAGGTATTTTGGTGGTAGGTATATAATCTTTAGCGTAATCAAAAGTATTTTTAATAGTTTGCGATCAAATTGAAAAACCATTGCACCCTTTTTCAATACTAAATCCAGAATAAAGACGAAAATTAACAATAAAAACACTTTGCATTTCATGTTTGGTAGCCGTATTAGTTAATCGCGTGAATAATAAGAGAAACTTACCCCAATAACCCACTTTAGTGTGGAGAAGTCGAGGGAAACACACCACACTTACCGAAATACGCGCACAACTGCTTTCTGTCTAATAATGCACTGGCTTCGCATTATTGAAGATAACAGGTGATTCGCCACCTGCGACTGGTTTGTGGTTTCATTCAATAAGAGATAAGAAACTTGTATACTCGAAATAATATGCAAGTTTAAATTCTCGCCTGATAATGTTCGGTCGTTTCATTTAGAAAATTAGGATAATCATTTTAAAAAGGCGGCACAAAGGTGACCACTAACCATTTCACGCTGTTACTAGACTTTCCAAAACATCGTGCTTTTTGGCAATTATGTTTACTGAAAAGATGACATTTTAATGTTTCCATTCACTTTGTATACAGTTGTTTTTTTGTCCGTTCTACTGCCATTTTAGTCTCTATTTTCAATACCTTGGTCCTTATGGATTAAAAATCGACTAAAAATACCTTTATTCCCGCTTTTGCTTGAGGGGCAATTTAGTTCCCGGTGTGCAAATAGATACCTACCTTTTAATTTCTTCAGGCCGAAAACGAAAGGACAGACATCAGACAATATAGGTGAAAATTTCCTTTCCACAGAGAAATGTATGCAAAAGCAACGCCTTCGAATTTTTTTATTGAATTCTGCAGTTTTCTGCCATATTAACAACGACCCCGGTGCGGCCCTACGGGATTATTAGATTTTAACCAATTTTTTATAATACACTGCAGACATGTTTACAGCACTTTGTCATTTAAGCGATAAAGGTCATAATTTTTGACCCTACTAAGGCTTAGTTTTTCGAGGTTTCCATAAACAATTTACCTTACTATTATTATTATTCGGCCAATGGGTCCCAAAAAAATCTGTATCTGCATCCCTTCCTTTGCCTTTAAAAAACTTACTTCCACCTTCACCATTGAATGAAGTGGCAACCCTAAATCAGCACCCCAATTTGTTACATTGCCAAAATATTGTGCTCATTTTGTGCTAATTTGTGCGCCAAACCCCAAATTTTGTGTGCTTTTCGTTTTCTGTTGGGGGTCCAAAGTTAATACCTACTGGAACACCATCATTCTCGTATTCACATGACACGTTTTGTGCTGATTATTGTGCGCGAAATGCGAATACTCGAAACGGCAAATTATTTCTTCTAACTTTTTACTTTTCGCAAATCTGGCACTAATATCGTTTAACAATTAGGCACCTTCAATCTTTTTCCTATCCTCTCCTTTCGCGCATTTCATTACTTTGATTTTTTCTTGTTGATTTTCATACTGTAGCCTCTAGATAGTATTCCTTCCATACCCCTTAATCCAGTTTCTAGATTCTTCTCTCTTTCTCTTAGCATTACTATACGTCATCGGCGTACATCTCAGTATATGTATTGTTTCGCCCTGCACTTTCACCCCTAAGTTAAAATCCTGTTTTACTCTATTTGTGACTTCCTCTACGTACAGGTAAATATTGTCGGAGGTAAAGCGCAGCTCTGTCTCTGTCTAACCCCCTCTGCACCTTGGCTTGGTCCTTCTCACCCATACCCATAGTCCCATATGTTAATCACTGCTTTACCCTCCTATCTTTATCTACAGAGTGGCCCAACGAGAAGTATACAGAGGGCTTTTAGGGTATTAAATTTAGAAATTTCGAAAAATCCTCGAACACGTCAATTTTGTATTCGAGGGGGACAACTTTTGGAACACAAATCACGAACCCACCCCTCTACGTAGGGAGCTTAACCCCTAAAATTTTAAATGGAATCCTATGGTAAATCGCACATTATTTGAAAGCCAATTTAATCGTGATTACTAATCTGCTTTGCTTTTTAAATTCTATTGATTCGTTTCGCAGATATTCGCATTTGAAATGGAATTGTTGCAGATTTGCTGAATCGTTTGCTCAAGTGTTATAAAGTCGTTGGAAATGTGGTTTTTGGATTATTTGGATTTTGACATATTAAACTGCATAATTTGTGTCCGTATTAAGGGCTAATTTTTCTAAATTCCCACAAAACTATTTACCTCATTAATGATATCAATTTTAATTATTCCTGACCATATGCTTAAACAATTTTACAGGGTTTTATATAAAAGTAAGTAGTCAAAACTAAAATGTTGAAATTTAGTCACAATTTGGTAATTTAGTACTGCAGTGGCAAGAAATATGCCCTAACATTTCAAATGTGCGTAATCCATCAAAATTTGTCTTTACACTCACGTTCAAATTCTTATATTGGACTTTCAAACCAGAATTTACTTGAAGATCTGTTTGTACCACCGTTGCATTTAACAAAATTACCATCTTTATCATTGGGTGATGTTGGTGGATGTGAAATAAATTTTAAAAAACCCATGCACTGAGAATTTAGTGTTACCTATTCCGCACTGAAGTGAGAATTATGAGAATAGACTCGCGATGGATGAATTGCCCCAAATGTTGAGTTTAAAGATAGAACTTTGCATTAGAATTTTAAAGACTGCATTTTCAAAATTCTGCATTTAAAGCAAAATGTCCAACGATATGGCATTATTATTATATGACATGTAGCACATCAGTATTGGTCATCATTTGGGAGGGTATAAAACGAATTTTTGTTATTACCTAACTATATTGCCATTGGGGCTTCGTAGGATGAGAGGAAGGATTGTAAATAACGACTGCGTTCATAAAGTGTAATTAATAAATACAAACAATCAATATAGTCGATTATTTTGACACAAACAGTTATTGTACTTATGCAAACACCTACACACTATCCTGCTCTAAGGTCCTATGAGGTAGTCTCTTTAGCTAAATGACGTAAACAAGAATTATGAATTTATGAATTCATTTTAAACGGACGATTCATCGATTACAGTAATGACACGATTTGGAAAGGTCTTCCATTTAGAATTATTTGTCTTATTTAGTCCATTTAATTCCTCTTCATTATTCATCGCTTGCTGTTCATCGTTCGTAGCAGTCGCTAATTTGGATTTAGCTAAAGACCATCTTCTACCTTTTCTGTCTAATATCACAGGCAATTCCGCAATAAGATTATTCTCAAACTCGCTCAGCATTAAATAATTTTCCACTTTATTACAGGAGGTTATGCAATCTCCTATATAATCTAAATCGTCTAGTAAATTATCGGGAAGGTCCATGTCCGCAATGCCCTCTTCTGAGATGCAGGTTAGCTCGGGCTTCTCGTTCGAGCCGACTATGTTGTCGATTATACCGGGCGGCTGGTTGGGAGCCAGATCCGCGCCCAAAACCAGAGCGGCGGCCGCGGCGCCCGCCGTTACACCGGCTTCGTTTTCGGGTTCTTGGGAAAACGACAGCTTTCTGCGTTGTGGGCAATTTTCGTTGACGCACACGTGACGCGTTCCATTCTCGCGCGTGTGCTTATGTCTTGCGATGTTTCGACGATGAAGGTCTATGAGAAACAGTGTCAAACTGCCAACTAGTACGCAAGTTGAGCTGAAATAGTAGCCAGTTTTTTCTCCGCACTTTTCGTTCATGTACCCTAAAATTTGAGCTTGTCTGAATACGTTCTGCGGTAGGCATACTGACCTGAAAATGGAACCCCGATGACTATCGGTATCGCTTGAGAGCATTGGACGAATCCCCAAGTTCTTGCAAAATTTCGCGCGCGGACCCTTTCGTAGGTGTACATCTTCAAAGAGTAATGATAACCTCCACAAAATATGCCTGTAACCAAAATGAAATGATGCGTGTGAAAAATTTTCAATCTCATAGCAAATTAATTAATTGGAAAGGTAGGTACAAAAATCTAAACTCTTGCAATATCACGTTGCTTATATCAGATTGAGTGTTTCCATAGCATGCACGCTGTAACGGAGCAAAAAGATTGTAGAAAGTTAATACAATATTAGAATATTATGAGCCGCATGTTAAAATTGTATACGGAGAAGGGCCAAAGTGTTTAACCAGAAATTTGAAAGATAGATATTATAGTAACTTTTATATTTGCTTTGATAGTTTATAACAAAATTCATTGTGATGTATCGTAAAACTCCAAAGAGATCTACTTAGTTCCTAACCTTTGCCCATCTCTGTATAGTTGCGTCGTGAGACCTGAGTAAAATTGAAACAAGTTAAAAAGTAATCGTAAACGATTTACATAAAGCGCATTTCCACTTGCATTCATTTCCTATTTGTAAGATGCAACTTTTGTTAAAATTGTAAAAATCCGGCCACAAATATGAAAGATAGCGTTGCACATGTGCAATCCATTTTTGACGTGCTACTTCAATTTCAGTTTATAAGAAGAGTTTCATTTCAATGCTTTTCTAAATAAGAAAGTTGGAACTGCGCATGCGCAAACCTAAATTTTGAAGCTAACGTTAGATTTTCCTTTGTTCCAAGTGGCTATGTATCGAATTTCATTTAAATCCCTCCATAAATAAGAAAGTTGGCACTGCGCATGCGCAAAACCAAATTTTGAAATTGGCGTTAAATTTGCTTTTATTCCAAGTGGCTATGTATCAAATTTCATTTAAATACTTTTATAATTAAAAAAGTTTGCAATTCGGTTTATAAATGGTCGAGATGCGAATAGGGCACTGTGAATTTTGAATCGATTCGACTCAACCTTTGGCATTACGTATTATATGGCTATTATATTGTATTTCATGCAATTCAGTTCATAACTAACGGAGATGTAAAAGCGATCCGACTTTTCTAAACAAAGTTATCTTTCACACGGACAGATAGAGGGACAGACCGACAAAGGAACAGACGGACAGACCAACAGGCAGACGACAGACAGCAATGCAAAATTATAAACGATCTCTAGGATCGTTAATAAACGGCAAAAGTGTAAAATTATGGAACATATAAAAAACGGTTTTTTTTTTAACTTTTTTTGTAAGCGGTACAGAAAAAATTCCTTCCTTGGTGCAAGACTCGACACCATATATTTCATATTTCATATTTTTTATTTGTGTTGAATATACATAAAGTATTTACACACGTCACAATAAGCAAGAGATAACAATCAGATATAACACACTTAAACAAAACATTTAGACTCTAAAAATTCTCTGGTAGAGAAGAATGCTTTTCCGATTAGCCACTTCTTTACTGTACGTTTGAAGTTATCATACTTCAAAGTTGTTATTTTGTCGGGAAGATGATTATAATAATTAATATATTGCCGACAATGACTGTTTAGGGTTCTTGTTAGTCGGTATTGGTTTGTGTACAACTTATTTTTTGATCGGGTGTCATGAGAGTGTAGATCTCTATGTTGTAAGTACTGGTCTTTCCTGGTATGTACATATAGAACGCATTCTAAAATATAACGAATCAAATAGCGAAAAAAGCTCAAAACGAGCGGACGGACGGACGGACAAAGTGGCCACAATAGCGCATTTTTTTTGTGGAAATGCGCTAAAAAGTTGAATATTTATATAAAATTTTTTTATTAAATAATAGCATTGAATTTCACAAATTGAATGGGTTGGGAAAAGTTCAAAAATACAAATTTTCCTTATGCCGATGTGCGTCCCTAGTGTAACTAGGGGTGAAAATGATGAAGTAAAAAATGAACACCAAATCCGATAGAAAACTGAATTTTCTTTAAAGCTTTTTCGAATAAACGCATATTTTGAAACGGTTTTGACGAGAATAACTTCAACATTTTAAATTTTATAAAAAACATTGTAAGCAAAGATGTCTGTCTGTAAAAAAAGCAATTGATAATAATTAAAGAATGAATAAATTGATCAATTAATTTATGAATACGCGGTCCCTTTACAAGATGAAAAATTCTGACAACCCCCTGGCACCTTATTAAAATTATTTCAATTACTATAATTATTTATTTTATTTTATATTTGAGCGGGCGGAGTTTCCACCAAGGCTACTCTACCAACCCAACCCACTATACATTTACAAATATCCATGCCCGAACCCGGATTCGAACCGGGGACCCTTATAGTAACACAGTCCAGCTTCAACTGAACTGTGCCACACGGCCCGGCCGTTAAATTAAAGACTACGTTATTTTCATTACTTTGAAAACTATATCGATCGAAAATTATGTTCGTACTTATAGTTAATTTTAACTGTGTAAAAAATCGTGAGAATTCTGCAGTAAAAAAAAGATAGGGCTAATTTGCCTTCTGATTTAACTAATTTCTGGAACTTTACATCCCTTAGTATGTTTAAATTCCAAAAATCGTACGGTGCTATTGCCACGTACGCCAACTCGATGTAGTTCTCTTACCATGCAAGAATTCTAACAGCTAAGGAGGGAATCAACGGATTCCTTGGAAAATTTCATAAAAAAATATATACAGGGTGACAATTTGAAAACTTACCACCCCCCATATCTTAGTAAATAAACGAGATATTTAAAAAAATCAAAATCCGTTTCGGTAATTCGGAGGGGGAATCAAAATGACATACTTGGCGACGCACCCCCTCCAACCCCCTGCGCCACAGCCACCACAACTTTTAAATCTTAAATAGTGACCCCCCATGTGTGATACGTCGTTGGAAAGCTCTGAAAAAATGCTTTCCAACCATACCAATAGCATTACATTTAGGTTAGTAATTATCGTGCAAATCAAAAAATAAACTAATATGATACATTTGAAATCTGTCGTATTTAAAACGCAACCGGCGACCATAGACGAACTAAGACAGAGAATAATTCAAGAATGTCGAAATATTACAAAACCAACATTGGAAAGGTTCGACAAGAGTTTGAGAATAGATTATAACTGGCGATCAAAAATGAGTTGCTGTCGAGTCGGCTTTGGAAGTTCAAGTTAAATACGATTTTTCCATGTTTATTTTTTGATTTGCACGATAATTACTAACCTAAATGTAATGCTATTTGGTATGGTTGGAAAGCATTTTTTCAGAGCTTTCCAATGACGTATCACACATGGGGAGTCCCTATTTGAGATTTAAAAGTTGGGGTGGCTAGGGCGCAGGGAGTGTGAGGGGGTGCGTCGCCAACTATGTCATTGTGATTCCCTCTCCGAATTACCGAAACGGATTTTGATTTTTTTAAATATCTCGTTTATTTACTAAGATATGGGGGGTGGTAAGTTTTCAAATTGTCACCCTGTATATGAGACTTCTTCTGGTGCTGGTACTGGTGCAAATGTTTCCGTAAAAAGGATATAGGTACCGGGTTGCTGGCTAAATCCCTGTGCGACCAATCGCGCCTGATGGAGCCATCAAAACGCAATTTGTTCCTTAGCACCACTCGGCAACCGGTAACTTTTAATTTGTCAGGGCGGTCGACCAGCAGAATTGCAATCATCTCAACGATGAGATGTAAGTGAGGATTATACTTAATCCCGAGATATAAGTCGGGATTAAACTTAATCTCGAGAAATAAGTCGGGATTATACTTTATCCCGAGAGGATTATACTTATTCCCGAGATATAAGTCGGGATTATACGTAATCTCGAGATGTAAGTGAGGATTATATTTAATCCCGAGATATAAGTGAGGATTATACTTCTAGATCTCGAGATTACGTATAATCCCGACTTATACCTCGGGATTGTTGGGTTTTCTTTACAAGTAAAACGGTCAATTTTGAAGGAAATATTATTTTTTGCCATTTTTCATTCTTGCCGTAAGTAACTTAATTTATTAAGTAAATTATTGCGAAACCGTACCGAGGCTTAATCTTTTACAGTTTCTAATTGCTGTAACTTTGATCTTTTGCATTTTTCACCGTCAAGTTTTGTAAGTACACGGTATGTACTTTTTTCGGGCCATATAAAAATATGAAGTTGATGATGATGTCTCAAAGACGAAACGTCGCGGTAAAAATCTGTGGGCACCATCTTGTAGAGCTTAAAAGGGTCTATGAGGAAGTGTTATTTGTTCTTTGATATCTGTTCAAATAGTAATTTTTTTTTTTTTCGAATATATTTGATTGAAAAATTGAATACGCTTATTTAAAAAATAAATTGAAGCATTAGTTAACATTGCAAGGTTCGTGTAAAATAATTCTTCTAATGTAACCTAGTGCCATCATTAAACACTGAAATAGACAGAATTAGGTACTCAAAATACTTACCATAAATCCAAGCAAACATAACGTAGGCATGATAATTTCCACTAACGACAGTAAACGCCAAAATGGACAGTCCACACATAAAGACGGCAGTTTGACATAAGTATTGTCTTGCAATTCGGCATTCAGTCGAATTGTGCAGTACAAACGTACTAAAAACGACACAGCCAACAGTCCACGCTAATCCTAAGTACATTTGAAGAAGGACGGTCGAATCACCCAAACCTTCGGCTTCAGCCTGATAAGCCAAATAGAAAATCGGCGTGTTTATACCAAATGCGCTAATCCCGGTCGACGCAAGAAGTATACGGACGGTCTTGCTTTTCAAAGTGCTAAAGTCGAAGAATGGTATTTTGTCTTCTATTTTATTCTTGTCTTTTATTTTACGCTTTTGATTCTTTATGTGTAAAATGGCACGTCTCTGCGGATGATAAAGCGATGCCGAACGATAAAATGTTCCCAATATAAAAGTTATTGAAACCGCTCCGGTAACCACTTGCAATCCTAGACGCCAACCCAGGGCACTGAAAAGGAAAGAATATAAAATTAGTATTTCAGCGTCATTTACAAGTTTTATTGGCGATACGTGGCGAGGACCGTGAGAAAATGGTCTAAATAGTTACACGTCGTTACTTGTGAGAATAAATAGGTAGGTACGCTATGAGTATTGGTATTTTAATAGTGCTTCGCGAAAAAACTTGTAACTCGATGGGTTTCCTGCTGATTAATTGTACGCAAGCCTTTTATGTGATTTTTATGGGCAATTTGCGATTTTGTGTTAGTATTACGTTAAAGTCGTAGACAAATTTGATTTTACTTTAACTAACTAATTATCAACACCATTATAGGTAAACGCGTAAACCTTATAGAGCGAATTTTTCTCATATTCATGCGGTACATTAATTTGCTCCTTTCATCTTGTTCCTTTAAAATTTGTTCGGTTTTGGGTTGCTGAAACACTTTCCGAATAGTGCAAACAAAGGCAGACTTATATTTTAGTATGGAATAATTTGTAAACTAAACTACCAAATCAATCGAAAGGAACTTTTTTGGTTTTTTGACCCTTATCATTTTTTGACCCTTGGCATATTTTTAAAAGGATTTTGTTTCGGTCAGCTTTACCAGCCAATTTTTTTACATGCTTTCAAGTAGACTATATTTCACAATAATGGTTGCTATATTTGAATACTGAATTGAAAATTTTCTAGTCCTGCGGGTGTATTTGGTAGTAAAGGTCAATATTGTAAAATGATAAAAAGTTGATTTGCCTTAGATTTATTGAAAAATATTTTATGTTTTCGTACAGCAAATTTATTGCTCTTTTCAAATACCTATAAAAGTATAGGCATTGCATTTGAAAAACAACAGTTTCATCGATTTCCGGTTTCCGGAAGTAATACCGGAAATTTAAATATGCGATGAGATAGACCGTAATGCTCGCCGTAATGTCACATACAAAATTATTTTTTCTCCAACCACCTGAATAAGACGCTATTTTGTGACAGTGTTCGGTACCTAAAATTGACGTTTTGCGGATTAATCGCTTTCACCATGGCAACTGTACAAAAAGTTGATACTTTTGGTCCTAGTACCAAAAAGAAATTGACCTTGAAAGTTGGCCAATTAAAAAATTACAATCACGGAGATATGTCACATTGACATCGTTTTACATTGCAGGTTGTAAGATATTTCTATAGGTACATACAAATCAAATATTTTTGCATATTCAATGCAAATAATGATGTTACCTATACGTATGTACATGTATTGAAAATGATTTACGCTCGCTATTTTTATTTAAACCATGTGTAACGTAATTTACATATTCCGTGAACGTAATTTTAATACGTATACAACCCGCCGTCGCGCGTAACGCCATCTACTTCAGACCCATTGCACTATTATCTGTCATTTTGAATTCAAAATTTGAAAAAGTTAATTGCAATTAATTTTAATTAAAAAACTGTGTGGTAAGTTTTTTATTTCAATACAAAATATAACAATATTAATTGTGTATACAATAAAATGACTGAAACTGATAGCGACATGGATTGCACTCCGCCAGAGATTATAGAAACGGCAGAACATGCTACCTTTAGATTTGCTCCCTACAAAGTCGCGAGAGGTGAGAAGTAAGAACGAATAGGTTATAAGTTAACCTAAAAACTAGAGTGGCATGACACGTGAGGACAAGAAAGCAGAAGTTCTTATACTATAGTAGTGAAACTGTGACTGAATCTAAATTCGAATATAATTTGAAGTAAAGGGGGTTGGAGAAAAAATTTTATGTTTTATTCGTACAAAAAATGCGTTTTCGGGACTCGGAAGGTTGCCGGACTCCGCTAACGCGTCGTCCAGCAACTATCTTCCTCGTCCCGAAAACTGACATTTTTTGTACTAATGAAACAAATAACTATTTCACAAATTTTTCGTATCTTGCCAAATAAAAGAGATATAGAGGTGGCCCTCTTCTGTGGAACACACTGTATAATTACTTTTATTGTTCATTGATACATTTTTGAATAAAACGCCATAGTAAAAACAGATGATATTGAGGAGGACCAGAATCTGCGATCTCTGAGGTGATCTCGGGGCGATCTCGAGAGATTTGAGGCGAACACGGGGCGACCAGAGGCGGTCATGAGGAGATTAGGGGTGGTATGGGGAGATACGGGCGATCTTGACGAAAAAGGCGATCTTTCGTACAAAAATTCCTTGCCTTGCCTTGCCTCGAGCGGGGACCAACCTTTATATTTTCAAAAATACGAATTAAAAAAAATATATTCTAGAGGCACTTTGAAATTTTTCTGAAAATATTCATAAATTCCGTTGGTTTTGTAAGGCTTAAGATGCAGATCAGGATGCAAGGCCGTCGAGAAAGGGGGGAAACAGGCACAAGATGCCACGGATGGCTCCGTATGGCAACGTCGTACTTTTACGGATATGTTTGATATCCAGTTTTTTCCAAAAATGTATCAAGATTACTAACTTAACGCACCTACCGGTACCTATACAAACTTTAAAATTACAAAACTGTCTAAAGTGAATCTCGACAAGGGCTGTATAATAATAACATATTAAAATTTTTGGGGTTATCGCCCTCTAGCAAAACTCCCCATTGCATGAAAGTTTTCAACCGTCAAAATATAGTTTTTATGACCCTTTGGTGATTCCGAAATTGTCTTCGCTCGTTTGAAATTTATAGCTGTGTCCCGGGACTTGGGAAACCCTCTATATGTATGGATATAATACATGGATTCCATACACACTACCTACTATTTTTTGCCACCCGAACGCTAATAAGGGAGGTATTGGATTGGGGTAAAGAATGACCCATCATTTTTTGACGTGTGAATACTTTATGGTTCCAGTCCGAAAAAATAGACGCGTTCTCTATTCGTTCCAGCAAATTAAATTTCATTTAAATACCTTCATAAATAAAAGAGTTTGGAATTCAGTCCGTAAATGGTCACTATGCGGAAAGGGCACTCTGAATGTTGAATCGATTAGACTCAACTTTTGGAATTGCGTATTATATGGCTAGAGCTATGCCCATATTGAATTTCATGCAATTCGGTTCATAACTAACAGAAATGTCAAAAGGGCCTCCCTTATTTTTTGATCGACATTGCCAATTCACAAACTCCGATTTACAAATTTTGTAATCGGTCCATTCGTTAGCGAGATATCGTGCTAACGGACGGGCGGACAGACAGAAGGGCGGACGGACAGACACCGCTCGCTAGGAGCCCGTTAATAATTAATCCAATCCATGAAAATTTTATTTTGTGTCTTTTAGGGGAATTTCGAAAGAAAAAAAATTCCCCGTATGTGATGGTTTTGTCTGCCCGTCTATTTTTCGTTTAACGAGAGAATGAAAAGAGACAGCGATATCAAATGTTCGCCAATCGATTTCTACGAGTTCAAAGATCAGTATTATTGAGCCGGATTAATAGTCGTGTTTCCGAATGCGAGCTGCGTATCAGAAAATTCCCCCATTGGAAGGCTTATTTTACCTTCATTACGAATATGCAATACGAAAAATACGGTTGCGCAATAATTATTTGTACAACTAGTTTTGAAAGTGATACTTCGCTTCGCTCTCATTAATCAAACTGCCAATTCATGACAAAAATGACACTTTCAAAAAAGATAACAATTCTTGCTGTATTATTCACAATTTCTCTCTAATAAATTAGTTGGTTGTGCGTAACCGTATTTTTGCTATTGCATATTCGTAATGAAGGTAAAATAAGCTTTCCAACAATGTGTCGCAAGACCTATGTTGCCATTTAAATAAAACAAAATGGCGGCCGTGTCAAAAAACCATGCCCACGGGACAAAGTTTTCTTTTCATGCTAGAATATGCTCAAACACATCTTATTTAAGGCCTAACACTTTTAAACCGATATCTCCAACCGTTTTCACATTAGCGCTTTGGTTCCATCTTTATTAGTCACTCTGTATATGATTATACCCAAGATACTTCGTACGTTCGTTTTCTTTTCTTTATCAAAATTCGGTCGCTACAGGATAATGGTCCTTTTAAAGATTGAAAATTATAAAAAAATTATTTGCGATCGTCAATGACACGGTTATGTAACAAATCTTGCATTATAGCAATAGAACAAAATTTAGTGAACAATATTAGTTTAAAGGAAGTGGTTCAAGTTAGTGTTAAAGCACGGAAAGCGAAATTTTAGTTTTGTACTTTTTCTGTTTTTGCATACCTACCTACTTAATATCTACCTTTTTCTTTGAATGAAATGTTTATTTATTGTTCGTGCATTACTTTTTCAATAACAGCATAAAATAAAGCATTATTAGTTAACTTGATTAGGTATTCTATAAAGTTGGAAAAATGGGCGGCAATTTCATTTTGTCACGCAGGCGGCCAAGTGTTTAGGAACGGCCCTGGGTATAACAATTTGGCGCCCATCCTAATCTACATCGTATACGTCTTACAAAGCTAACGGATTTATTAATATTTTCAAAAAAATTACTCCCCTTCATCCCTTAGTCACGATTTCCAAAATTACAGTTGGTCATTGGAAAACCCTTCATGCTCGGGATATTTTTGGAGTATCCAGTTTTCAAAATATTCCCCATTAAAGATCCAGGTCACTATTTAGTCTAACATGGTTTATATGTAATATTCATACTATCCTAATAGGGTACATTACCCAAAATATTTTTTCCTTAAATTAAAACGTAAAACCACAAGCATTAAGGGTAAGTACGTGGCCCAAAAGAGTATTAATGATGAAAATGGAGTCCGCATGGGGGAAATAAGCGCATATTGCATCTAATATTGCCAAATAAGTTAATTTGATACATCGCTAAACAGTTATAAATATACACGCACGTTCGAAAAATGCAGCATATACTTACTTATGAATAAGCGTCATGATTGGGGGAATTAAGTAATCCCCGAATGTTTGCCAACAATTAAAGAAACCCAAACAAGTTCATAAGAAAAAAATAGCCTCGATCGATTTATGAGATTTACAAGTTGTTTGTGAAGTACATTAAACTGAATAAACAACTAAAGTTGTCGCTTATGAATTTTATTGCGTAAATAATGAGATTTGTGCAATTAGCTTTCGTCGTGTCGTTTGACATTTATTAACATTTACGAGACTATTTATAGCAAATTATTTTATAAATACCGCTATTTTAAGGAAAATGGCGAATGCAATCAGAAAAATTCGAAAATTGAAAGAATTTAAACATGCAAACGACATGCACATTCATCAGTCTACCTTTTTTGACTTTCTCTTTTCATTTCGTGCACAAAAATGCAAAACTTTATGGGCGTACAGAATAAGAATGCCATTAATCAGTCTTTATAGGTTAAAGCTAACTTCAACATCATGTCTGAATGTCAGGATGCAGACTTTTCCACCGAGGTAATTAAAAAATGGCGATAAATCAAGCAAGGATCTTGAAAAGAAGTAGGACGATGTAAACACTGTAACTTGCATGTGTTCAAAAAGTGTCATTTCCATTTTATCTTTGCTGGCGACCACCACAACATAAAATTGCTCAAAATGAGAGCGACAATTTTTCATTAACTTCGCATACCCATAACGGATTGGGATGTTGTTTTTTTTAAGAATTTCTCGTGAAAAGATTTATTGGCGAAGTGATGAGTTAATAGATGTGAACCGTAAGAGTTCGCATACATCACATAAATATTATTCGAAGCTGGTTTGACGCGTATTGATTTTATAGTGGATACATACCCAATAGTGCTTTTGATGACGACGGACATGATTGCAATTCCCAATCCGCTTCCGGACACGATAAAAATTTCCACAAATTCTCGTCTTCTTTTAAAATATTGAGCAACCATCAATGTAGAACAGTCTCTTGTTATTCCTACGCCAATACCGACCACTGTTCCATAACTGTAACAAAAAGAACAAATCAATTATTTCAATTTTATACATCATTTATATCTCTCTCATTTTTTACAAATATAGCAGTTTTTTTTTGCTTCAGAGAACGTACCAAAATCACTGTACGAAGCTAATTTTATAATGATTCTATCAGGATTCTAATGAATTTCAAAGTGTTGGAAATTTAACAGTCCCCAAAGACTATACGATTCTAAAATTCAAATCAGGAAAATTCAATTGTTTTTCATTATTCACTTGTTTTCTAAAATAAAAACAACTGAATGTTCCCTTGTTAGGAGGAATAAAATGTTAAACAACTTTTATCAAGAAAATTGTTTTGGATACAGTCGAGTTATGTATATACTATGGGCACCCTGTATATAAAATTTACTATTGGATTCCTGCAAGTTTCAATAATTTTCGTTTCGAGACAAGTGTTGCACTTAGTTTTTTTTTTAAATTTTTTATTTCGTTATTTTACATTCAACGGTGACAAATTTGACCAAAATCAGAATATTTTTTGTACGCCTTTTAAAAATGTGCCACCTTAGAGTGAGGATTTTGGAAAATTCTGAGCAACATTAAAAATCGGATACCGAAAAATCCACATAAAACCATTAAATCTATAGGGTATATCTACTATAATTTACACCCCCTAATTAACTAGTCTCGTCTTATTTGCGAATTAATTTCCCCGCGAGTAAAGAAGTGGTTCTGATCTTGCGAAAGCCCAATAGTTGACCCAGGCTTTGGAATAGTTCGTAAGGTCGCAATCCATACGCGCTTTTAACTCGCTTGCACCACCCGCTTTTAGGAATCCTATTATAAACATGTAGGTACCTATTAGGTTTGAGAAATCGGCGAAACATTTTTGATTCAAAAAACTACCTTCTAGGAAACATTTTGAGTAATTTTTGTAACATTTTACTGGAAACTACTGGAACTCTTCTAGGAACTTGCCTCAACAAACCTTTTATTAATATTCCTATTAATAAATAAATAAATCTTCTTAGAAATAGTAGAAATTTCCAAAAATCTGTTTGAGAAACGTTTGATCCAGGGTGACAATTTAAACGCATAAGACAAAAATGCTGTTTTGTGTAGAAAGGAGGAATGAAAATGACATAAAAGAGAAATCACCCCCATCAAACCCCAACTAAAAAAAGAAAACCCTGCCTGTGATGCATCATTGAAAGACTTATAAAAAATACTATCTAAAACCACCAAAAAAGAATACAATTTATAATCAAAAATTATGGCATTAATGAACCCTAACGTCTTCTTATATAAACCTCCAATCTCTTATTTATTACTGTCGAACTCATTTGCGCTGATGGTATCTACTTTTGTAATATTTCATATCTGAAACACAATGGCATCATTCCATTGTCAGAGTGAATGCGGAAGACGTTTGGTTTGATCAAAGGGAAGATAAATCTGGTTCCAGTTATATGACCGTGGACTGGTCACATTAAGTTTTATTTTCTTCTCAATGCCCTCCCAAAACCAAAATACGGCGGTTCTGTTTTAAAATATCGTTACAGCAAAGTTATACAAAAACTGTTCTCCGTTCATAAATTTATGCAAATCAACGACTAATTGACTAAAAAAACTATGGCTTTTAATAGAAAAGTATGACCATAAAAGTTTTTCTGTAATTGGAAATGACTGGTATGTGTCGCGTTGAAATTCTTTTGCATGAACAAAACACGATGTCAATGCAAATAGTACCTGCAGGCGACCGCTAATTAGCCCCTGGAATTAGGAATTTTGATCGAAAATTAACTAAAGAATAACGTAGGTAATTACACTTGTCGTATGTTAATTACACAGTTGAGGAGGGGTTTTGTGTTTATAGACATTAGCGATACAAGCATCTTTAATTAAGTTCAATTATTGAATCATAAAATTTTATAATTTATGATACCTACCCCAGAAGGCACTGGTTAGAAGTAGAACTAAAATGTCGGTGCCTAAATTAAAAAATATGACCCAGCGATTTAATTAAAAAAAACCTTCCGGCAGAAAGGATTAGATAAACTACTGAGGAAGTCTATTAACGCGAATCCTAATAAATTGTCGGCTGAACATAAAAATTGTAATTAATACAAAAACAAGACATTTCGATCCACTTATTTACATATTGAATACTAATTAAAATAGAAAATTAATAATTAACAGGTAACGAGATCTAGATTAGACACGAAACATCAATGACTCACCAAATTATGCTTACGCACTGATGCTGTGTAATGTTATTGCAAGAACTGCACAAAATTCTGACGGGCAAAGTGAGAATATTTGATGAATCTTTGGAAATGCCCAGAGCAAGCTGCTTCATCTCCAAACAAATTTGATCAGTTTTAGACATTTTTTCAGAATGCATATACTCCGTTCAATAGTTATTACTAGCTATTACTAAGCATATAATTGTAAATATATAACAGCCTTTTGAAATTAATAATGTTCATTAGAGCCATTTGCCTACTCAATATAGTATATTAAGTATGGAGAACGGTAAGGGATTTTTACCGTTCGAAGACAATTGTTTGGAGGAGGAGCGAAGCGACGACTCCAATTATTGTCTGAGAACGGTAACCCTTAACGTTCGACGTGCTTATAACATTTTTTGCGCGATCGAAATTAAAATTATCCAACCAATATAACTATGCACTAAGAAATTAACGAGCAGAATAAATCGAAATGATCGAAGTGGTATGGCGTACATCACTAGGCAACCAGTTTAAATGTCAAAATTGAAATTAATAATTTCATAAAAATGTGCATGTGTCTCATGATACAATAAAAATAAGATATGCTAGATTGCCGTTCCAAATTCGTCCAGTTCGCGCATGACGTCACGCGGTGATAAAATTTGAATTTAAAGCCGAATTTTTTTCTTAATTCTACTACAAATACTAACATTTCTTAATTATAATGGTTTAGGGGAAAAAGAGAGTTCAAATTATAAAACCTAAATGCAAAATATGCCGAAAAATATCAAGAGATCGTTAAAGACCACCTTTAAAAACGCTATAAGCGCACCATGAAAAGAGGAAATGCAGGCGTTTTTCTTATTATGGTAAGATATCCACTTATGTTAAAGTATCTAAACATTGTAGAGTAGATATTAAAAACGAAATGACTAAAATATAAAATATGAATTATGTAGGTACACAAGTTATAATTTACTAGATTCAAAAACGCATTCGATAAGATAAAAATATATTGAATTATTGTTCTTTATTGCCAGATAAATTGGTAATATAGAATTTAAAAAGTAAATCGGACATCAGGAAGTGTAAAGGAGTAGGTACAAAAAAAGACATGTTTGTTATTAGAATAGTCTCAAGTTATTTACAAAATATTAAATAAACAAGTGCACATAACATATTAAATTAGTAATCTCGTGAACACTGAGATATGAGCTTCAGTAACCAGTGTTATAATACCTATATTATCTCAAAACTACCACTTTAAGAAACAATTTTTGAGTATTTTCTTTTTTTCGATGAACCATTTTCTTGTAAAATCTTGTTCATTTTTTTAATTCTAAAATACATTCTAGATCTGAAAAACAACTTTTTGATTTCTATGTTACAATCAATATTTGTAGCATGATCTAATAATTTGCGTAAATATCCTTTACATATTAATAGATCTCCTGAGTTAATCGAATTGAAAATAATTTCCAACTGTTCCATAATTTGCATCATTTGCCCTGAAGGTTTGCTCAGTCCGCCTTCTGATAAGTGATCAACCCACGTAAAATATTGCTGACTTGACGATGTCACAGTAGGTTCAATATTTTTCAATTTAAAGCAAATAAAGCCAGCTAAGTTCTCCAAACCATCATAGGAAACAGCATCTAGTTCCAAAGTTAAGGGATCTGTTAAGTTAACAGCTTGTGGCTCTTGAGGTGTTAGCTGAGAAAAGCACTGGACACTTAATAGTTGGTCCGCTAAAGCTGGCGGTTGTAGATCTGGGGTGTCGTCAATCTCAGTATTCCCTGCGTCCGAAAGTGAACCTTCATTTTTTCCTAAGATATAAGATCTTAACCGATATCTAAATTCTAATGGATTTGGGTGATCGTGGAGTCCACCTTTGGATCGAATAGCCCCAAAAAAATTTTCTAAGATATCTTGATTCAGACGATGTGTTAAGATGTATTGAATATTATATCTACTTTTAAGATCATCATAAAGCAACTTCAATGAAGTATTGCTGATTATTATGCCTTTCTGAAAAGGAAGTAAGGCTCTTCTTCCTTTGACTCTAAGAGATGTAATGATGTTGGTCATTTTATCCACAATAGCGTTTTGAATTTCAAGGGATAGACCATAGGCCTTTTGTCTTTCACGGGTGTCTGGAACTGGAACCCTAACGTTCAAACAATCAAACCAATCGTTAACCTGAAAACATTATGAACATGTAAATTATAGCTAACATTTCTTGGATGCAGCTTACGTCTTTGAAAAATTCAGCACATTGCAACCAGTTTTCATTGGTCAGCTTCCCATGCATTCCACATCGACTTATCGCTCTTGAAATGGTATGCGAAAACAATTTTGTAGCAAATTTTACCTTTTGCCTTTGATAACCTTTTACGTTTAATGTATCCACTGATATTTTATGGGCAATGTTTAGATCTGTGATTGTTGTCAGCTGGATTACTTTTTCGAGTATACTCTTATTTATCTCCACACCATTTAATAAAAAACCACTATCTATAAAATGGTTTCTCAGCAACTTGATTAGGTGTGGGACGTCGGCAAACATGTAGACCTTCTGATTGCTGGCTGGATTAATAAACCATGTTTGAGTTGTATCTATTCCCAGTTCTTTATGTAGCCCTTGATTTCCTCCACCCAGATCACTTACTACAGCTACTACAGGAAAACCGCCACCTTCTACATAATTTATGATCTCAAAAAGAATCTCTTTTGTCATGGCACAATCATATTTGTAAAAAATAGGTTGCTTCCAACTACCTACCAAGCCCCTTAAAA